GTGTGTGTGTGTGTGTGTGTGTGTGTGTGTGTGTGTATGTGTGTGTACTTATATGTATGTGTGTATGGAGGGGGTGCCTATGTGTATGCACATGTGGAAGCCAGAGGTCAACCTCAGGTGCTATTCCTCAGGAACTGTCCACCTTGTTTTTTGAGACAGTGACTTTCACTGACCTGGAACTTGCCAAATAGATTAGGCTAGCCAACCAGTGAGCCCCAGGGCTCTACCTGTCTCTACCTCACTAGTACAGGGTTTACAAATACATTCCACCACTTCTGGCTATTTTTTAACATGAATTCTGGGGATCAAGCTTGGGTCCTCATGCATACAAGGCAAACACTTTACCAATTGAGCATTTCCCCAGACTTTGTTTTTGATTTTGGTTTTTGTCTTTTTGTGAGACGGTCTCATGTAGCCCAGGCTGGCTGTGAACTGACTACATAGCTTGGCTTTGAGCTCCAGATCCTCCTGCCTCCTCCTCCCCAGCACTGGGTACAGGTGTACCCAACAGCACATGGCATTTAGAGGGTAGGGCTTCTTCATAACTGGAGGCTGGTACACTGCAAGAGGCCAGAGCATGAGGTACCTGTCATTATAGAATAGTTTGGAGCCCAGAGCTGCTCCCTGGGGAGAATGTAAATATTCCTTTGTGGTCCTTTTGAAGGATGAATCAACATATTTAGGCATTCTATGCCAAGTCACAAGTTTATTTGGAGGCTTTTGTTTTGCTTTGGTTTTCATCCTGATCCCATGTCTCCTAGAGGATTTGAAATCAAATTCATGGTACTTCATTAGAAGTCATTTCTGACCCAAAGGTTTTGCATTAAAAAACAAGTCTAGATTTGGTTTTCAGAGATTCTACATGGCCAGTGCCTCACCTGCTCTGTGAGACAAACACATTGTATTTTAAAGGTTTCTCATCATAGCTGCCCTTTCTGTGACTGCTGGTGTAGAAGCATGGGCTGTTGGAAGTTGCTGTTGGAAGCTGTCAGGAGTCTGGCACAGCACTGTTCTTGGGCCAGCTGTGGGAAGCCAAGCATGCAGTCTCCTGACTTTCACTTAGGGCCTTTATCAAATCCTGTGACAGAAGCTTGGTCACAGTACATTCAGGACAAGCCCCTGCTCAGGGCTACAGTACTCAGGGCTTTGACTGTGACCCTGACCCTGATCCAGGAAGCCTTTGAGATTGCTCAGCCCCATAGGCTGCTGCCAGAAGCTTCTGACAACTGAGAGCTTCCTCTCCTTTCTTAGCTCATCTCCGTCAGGAAGTTCTGGCACTTTCTGTGCCATTCTGCTGGCCATGTTAAAGAATCCCAAATAAAATAGTTTATCATTGGCAAACTCTAACATTTTTGAGGTAATTAAATTGACTTGAAGTAATAGGGATAGGAAAGGAGACTCCCAGGTCAGAAGACTTCCCAGGGAAGAAGCTGTATTTTGAGAACACTTTGGGTCCTCACGTCTACCTTGTGCTTCATCCTCAGGGAGGCTGCCATCTTGAACTTCAGAACCTGTAGGTGTTCCGTCTTCCCTCTTTCCAACCTTAGCCATGACAGAACCACAGGAGTTCAGACCATGCCTCCTCATGCATTCCCTGTCTTCAGATTGCTGGGAGAGTAGCAAACAGTTGTGCAGAGTGGCAGTTTCCCTCAGTTCTCCAGGACCATGGGCAAGAAGGAAGGGTGGGGCCCACAACGTCCCCATGCCCCATTTACAGTGGCACAGCAGCCATCTTCTAGTTTCTAGGACTGGAGAGCAGCCTGTCTCTTCTGGTGTGGACATTTACTGGGCTCTGTGGTTTGTTGCCTTAGTCAGACTGGGTGGGATGTCATCTCCTAGGATCATAGTATGGCTAGTCCTGTCCCCACAGGATGGTAATATCCTCTTACCCTTCTCTACAGGCTTACCCTAACTTATAAGTATAACGTTTATACACATGAAACTTTTCAAAACTGACTTTTTGTAAAAATCTTGTCCCTTTGGGGTTCTGTGACTCTAGTTCCCATAGTCCACTGAGTGGGTCACTAGTCTGTTCTGGTCACACCTGCCCCAGATGGCCTGAGCCAGGGGGATGTGTCAGGCAACTCCCTAGCAGAAGGCTTGCTCTGTTTCCTGTTGGTGTCTCCGTTTGGGGGTTTTCCCCATTTCCTCACACCCTGGTTTTCCTTCCTAGGAGAGAAGCGGTTCCCGAGGGAGAAGGCGGAGCAGGTTCTGGATAACCCTGAAGACCTAAGGGGTTCCACTCAGTTCCCCGTGTTGAGACAGGGCAGAAGTCCCTACAAGCGCAGCTTTGATGAGGGGGATATGCACCCTCAGGCAAAGAAGAAGAAAATCGACCTCATCTTCAAGGATGTGCTGGAGGCTTCACTGGAGTCCGCCAATGTGGAAACCCGCCAGCTGGCCGTGAGCACCTCATTGGTCATCCGGAAGGTCCCCAAGTACCAGGATGATGCCTATGGTCGGAGCTCAGCTGTCATGACCCATGGTCTGCAGAACGTCTGCCGGACCCAGGGAGAAGGGGACTGGAAGATTCCCCAAGGGGTGGCCAAGGAGCTAGGCCCATTGGAGGATGAGGAGGAGGAGCCTACATCTTTCAAGGCTGACAGTCCTGCTGAGGCCTCCCTTGCATCAGACCCCCATGAGCTGCCCACCACCTCCTTTTGCCCTAACTGTATTCGCCTGAAGAAGAAGGTTCGAGAACTTCAGGCAGAACTGGATATGCTCAAGTCTGCAAAACTGCCCGAACCCTCTGTTCTGCCACCGCAGGTACTGGAGCTCCCCGAGTTCTCAGATCCTGCAGGTAAGTCAGTGCAGATGAGTTGCTGTCCGAGGGAAGAGCGCACAGTGCACAGTGTGGAGGGTGGCCCAGAGCGCTCTGTCGGAGTTACCTGCCAGGAGACCCGAGGAGTGCAACGCAGAGGTGACCACCTCCAGGGGTGGAAACCCACGTCCTCAGGTGCCCACGGCAGGCCAGCTTGCAGCTCTGTGGGACATTTCATGTGCCAGCCTGTATCCTGCTTGTCAATAAAGGAAGTTGCACTGCAGGAGGGATGTGTGCTGTGTTTTTGACCTGTTCCTTTCTCTGGGGGCCCCACTGCTGTCTCCCCTACAGCCTGACTTCTCTCTCCCCAGTTGTGAGTATGGTGTGTACTGGGGGCTCTGATCACTCACCAAAAGCAGGCCAGGAGCACAGCCTGCTTCTCTCTGGACTATTTTCTGTCCACATGGTGCTTGGTCCCCAGCCTGGACTTCTAGTAGAATGAAGACTCGGGGGGCCTGGGGTAGACAGCTGCATGACTTTGCCCTTTTCTGCTGGCTGCCTGGATGTCTTCGAGTTGTTCAATCACTGGGGAACTGGGGAGGATTTGGGTGCACACCTGCAGCTCCCTCACACTTCCTATCTTAGGCACGCCCTTAACTAAGAATGAGGTGGAGCAGGCATCAAAACTGCACAGTGCCTCGGTATCCAGGCTGCCTTCAGTTCAGAGCTGCATGTTTCCCTTGACCATGTCAGTGGTGGGTATTCCATTGCCAAGTGGGAGTGTGACAGTAAACATTCCGCCTTCACCAGCTTGCCTCTTCTAGAACATTCTATCTCAGAAGCAGCTACACATTGAGATTGAGTATAGGCAGCCTGGAGCAAGGTGGGCGGATTTGAAGGCCAGTGTGGATGATCCATGGGGAGGAGAAGTCACCATGGAGAGCAAGAGTGTTCTTAAGAAGATTCTAGGCTGAGGTTCCACGTGAGGTGGAACCTACTCTCAATCACACTTCCTGTTGAAGTCTATGTTTTCAACCCCAGATATAAATGTTTCTTTCCCTTCTGTTTTTCAGCCTCAGAGAGTATGGTCTCAGGTCCTGCCATCCTGGAGGACGACGACCAGGAAGTGGATTCTGCAGATGAATCTGTCTCCAACGACATGATGACTGCAACAGATGAACCCTCCAAGATGTCCTGTGCCACTGGGCGCCGCATCCGGCGCTTCAAGCAGGAGTGGCTGAAGAAGTTCTGGTTCCTGCGGTATTCCCCTACCCTCAATGAGATGTGGTGCCATGTGTGCCGCCAGTACACGGTGCAGTCCTCGCGCACCTCTGCCTTCATCATCGGCTCCAAACAGTTTAAGATCCACACCATCAAGCTTCACAGCCAGAGCAACCTACACAAGAAGTGCCTGCAGCTGTACAAGCTGCGCATGCACCCCGAGAAGACAGAGGAGATGTGCCGCAACATGACCCTACTCTTTAACACTGCCTACCACCTGGCGCTTGAGGGCAGGCCTTATCTGGACTTCCGGCCCCTGGCAGAACTGCTTCGTAAGTGTGAGCTCAAGGTGGTAGACCAGTACATGAACGAAGGGGACTGCCAGATCCTCATCCATCACATTGCCCGGGCACTGCGAGAAGACCTGGTGGAGCGCATCCGTCAGTCACCTTGCCTCAGCATTATCTTGGATGGGCAGAGCGATGACCTGCTAGCTGACACTGTGGCCGTCTATGTGCAGTACACTAGCAGTGATGGGCCCCCAGCCACTGAATTCCTGTCCCTGCAGGAGCTGGGCTTCTCTAGCACAGAGAGCTATCTCCAGGCCCTTGACCGGGCCTTTGCCGCCCTGGGCATCCATTTGCAGGGTGAGAAGCCAACTGTTGGCCTGGGAGTAGACGGAGCCAACATCACTGCCAGCTTGCGTGCCAGCATGTTCATGACTATCCGAAAGACGCTGCCCTGGCTGCTGTGCCTGCCCTTCATGGTACACCGACCCCACCTGGAGATCCTGGATGCTATCAGTGGGAAGGAGCTTCCCTGCCTGGAGGAGCTGGAGAACAACTTGAAACAGCTACTCAGTTTTTACCGCTACTCCCCACGTCTCATGTGCGAGCTGCGCTCCACAGCCTCCACATTGTGTGAGGAGACAGAATTCCTGGGGGACATCCGGGCTGTGAAGTGGATCATCGGAGAGCAGAATGTCCTCAACGCCCTCATCAAGGACTACTTGGAAGTGGTGGCCCACCTCAAAGATGTCAGCAGCCAGACGCAGCGGGCAGACGCCTCAGCCATTGCCCTAGCCCTGCTGCAGTTTCTCATGGACTATCAGTCCATCAAACTCATCTACTTTCTGCTGGACGTGACTGCTGTGCTCTCTCGCCTGGCCTACATCTTCCAAGGAGAGTACCTCCTGGTGTCACAGGTGGATGATAAAATCGAGGAGGCCATCCAGGAGATCAGCCGGCTGGCTGACTCACCAGGAGAATACCTACAGGAATTTGAGGAGAACTTCCGAGAGAGCTTCAATGGGATCGCCATGAAGAACCTCAGGGTGGCCGAGGCCAAGTTCCAGTCTATCAGGGAGAAGATCTGCCAGAAGACCCAAGTCATCCTGGCGCAGAGGTTCGACTCCCGAAGCCGGAACTTTGTGAAGGCTTGCCAGGTGTTTGACCTGGCTGCCTGGCCCAGGAGCAGTGAGGAGCTCGTGAGCTTTGGTCAGGAGGACTTGATTCAGATCTTTGACCACCTAGAGGCCATCCCCACCTTCTCCAGGGATGTGTGCCGGGAAGGGCTGGATCCCCGGGGAAACCTGCTGATGGAGTGGCGAGACCTCAAAGCTGACTACTATACCAAAAATGGCTTTAAAGACCTCATCAGCCATGTGTGCAAGTACAAACAGAGGTTTCCATTCTTGAGTAAGATCATCCAGGTCCTTAAAGTCCTACCCACCTCCACCGCCTGCTGCGAGAAAGGCCGCAGTGCCCTCCAGAGGGTCCGCAAAAACCACCGATCCCGCCTGACCTTGGAGCAGCTCAGCGACCTGTTGACAATCTCCGTGAATGGACCACCCATTGCCAACTTCGATGCCAAGCGAGCTCTGGACAGCTGGTTTGAGGAGAAGTCTGGCAACAGTTATACACTGTCCGCCGAGGTCCTCAGCAGGATGTCGGCCCTGGAACAAAAGCCTGTGCTGCAGGCTGTGGACCATGGCTCTGAGTTCTACCCAGACATGTAGGGAGCCCACACCACAGAGTTCACTAAGCCGGTGAATATTTTTTTAATCTATACTCATAAGCTTTGATATATTCTATAAATATATATTAGATTATATTATATATATATATATATATAAACCTACACTGAAAATTTTTTTAAAAACTAAGGCAGCGCATCCACCGGAAGCTACTGGCAGCTTTCAGAAAAGGAGCAATGTCGGCAACGGACTCTTGTCCACACTTGGCAGCTGCACCCTACATGGCAACTCATCTTCACTCCCAGGAGCATGTGCTAGGGCCACACGTGTTCCTCCTAACAGTCAACCAACAGCATAAGCTAGAATGGCGGGTCTCTTCATCACTTTTAGGTAGCTTGTTTTGTTTGTGTCCTCATGTAGGGGTCAAGGGGCTTAGGGCTGGGGGTTGGGGTGGTGTTCTTGCCTCCTTGCCTAAGGTATGCTTTTATGACAAGGGCCTTCGTGGCCTCCTTGTTGGCATTCTGGTCCGGCCACATTGCATTCCTGTTTTCCACAGAGTGGGTTGTTCATCTGTTTGGGAATGTATGGGTCTTTCTTCCTCTTCTCACCTGACTTCAGCTTGGGAGATGTTGGTTGGTTTTCTGATGTGGATTCCCTCACTTGTCCCAGCCACAAATACAGTTAACTGTGAATCCTCCACTCTTCTCCCACGTTACTCCCTCCTCCATGTCACCCCTCCCATTCTCTAGGGTGTCAGTTCCCTTCTTCCAAGCCTCTGAAGGCTAAAGGTATTACCTGTTACACTGAACATTTCTTCACATCTGAGCTTGAAATCTAGGGAACAAGAAAAGGGGTGAGCTTTTTGCATTCCTATTTTTATTGCAGTGGAGAATAAAATGGTATAATTCCCTTGAGAACTAAGGCTCTTGGGAAGACAGTGAGCCAAGCTCTCTAAACCCCAACAGGGCAAAGATTTTTGCCTAAAAAGTAAAATGAAAGACGTATATTCAACTTACATGAATTATATTCTGTGTTTATAAACACGTTCGGGGTGGTTTCTTTTACTAATCAAAAAGACCTACTGTGTAGTTCTAGGGCAGGAGATGTGAATGCAAGTTGTGCCCTGGGTTATGCAGAATTCAGATGAGAGTCCCTACAGAAGTCATCTTTTCTGTAACAGTCTGGTGACATGTTCTTCAGCCTGGCCTAGGGTCACCAGGACACTGGGCAATATTCTGCTTGTGAACTCTTCCTATTTTGAGTAGGGTAGAGATGTCCTAACGAGAGAACAGAAAATGAGATGAGACTCTCTAGATACAAACCTGTGTGCACACTTGCAACACACACACACACACACACACACACATACACACACACACAAGCAACTGCAATATAAGCTTTACAGATGGCTGCTTGCCTCCTCCCTGGGGCAGGCAGTGGTTTAATCTAGAGGAGTTTGACCAATGTTTCTTCATGCATCTACCAGTATACCTCGCAAAAGAATTTTCAGAAATGTCCATGAGCTGTTAAAAACTTCCGTTCGTGTTTCCCCATCCGATCTGTGCAGAGTTTCTGTGCGGATCCCAAAATGCGGACACAGGTTGTCTTTGGGGAGGGGGAAGCTCTGAAGTCCCTGGCCACGGTCAGTTCTGCAGAGAGCTGTCCCTCTCCTTCAGTTCAGGGTGAGGAGATGTGGCCACAGGCAAGGCCTCCATACCCTCAGCCTGCTTGGCTCACCCTCCAGCTGTGGTGGCCCCCTTCCTTCTGGATTTGTCTCGTCTTTGAGGCCTTGTGGAAATGTCATTAACACTGAGCATTTGCTGCCCCTTCCTGGTCCCACAGTCTGCCCTGTCCTCCCTCAGATCCTCCCCTTGCCCCCATGGTCTTGGTGCTAAGATAACTTTTAGAATCATTGCTGCTAGCCAATAGCTTTTCATTATATAAATATATATTATATATTATTTTTGAAATGTTTTTGTTTTCAACAGTGATGTAGCATGTTAAAACTAGAAACAAAGCAAAACAAACAAAAACTGGGTCCTTCCAACTGTCCCACTGCCAGGTCTCATATGCTGCCTTCTCCAACGAATCTATACACCCCTGCCTGGTGACCTTCATCCTTGCCTGGTGACCTTCATCCCTCACCTCACCCCAATCCCCACCTTAACTTCCCCTCTCCTATGAACAGGGAGAGTTAGCGGGAACTAGGGACAAAACCCCAAAGCCCCTTTTCGTGGCTTGGATTTCCCCAGCCTTGTCCCACATGCCACTCTGAGCTGGTATCTCCTTCCACCTGTTCCTCCCACCGGGCCAAAGCCTAGCTGGGGTCCTATTGGGTGCTGTTGTGAAGCACAAGGTCCCCCTTTGCCTGGCTTCTGCCTGGGGACCTCCTCTCCCTTCACAGACACTAACTGTGGTCTGGGAAGTTTTCATTGACTATCGTAGGGACTGAGGTAGGCCGAGGATGGGGATGGATGGCAATGGGCAGCCACAGTGGCCTGGGTCTTTCCTTCTTGCCAACAATTGCCTTACACCTCTCTTCCCCAGTGTGTCCAGTGTGTGGGGCTTCCTCATCTGCTATGTGGGGTCCTGTCTAGGCATGAGGTACCCTAGGCCAGTCATGTGAAATCAGGGCTCACTGTCCCCTCACAAGAGACCATGACCCAATGATCTCAAGTCCCTCAGAGGTAAGGGTTTCTGCCAGCTTACACCACTGTGCTAGCTGAATCCCACAGACAGCCTGGAGCCAGGGAACTGCCTTGGGGTCTATAAGAATGAGCTACTCCAGCAGCAAATAGCTACAGGCAGTCACCTGTCCCTGTGTCCCCTACGGGGGGCTGCAGTGGTCACTGCCTCAGAGCCACTGAGAAGCTGTGCTCTCCAAGTCATACATTCAGCAAGGCACCTCTGAATCCCTGGTTGCTCATGGCTTGTGGCTTCTGTTGGATTCTGCCAGGCAGGGCTGTGGCAGATGCTCTATAGGCCACTTTGCCTTGGGACAGTGAGTGACAGGGAACAATGCACATGAACCCTGCAGTTTTTGCTTAGCTTGGATGCTTCCTGGGAGGGTCAAGGCTTCTGCCCTGTGAATATTGCTTGCGATCTCTGTGATTTTGGAACTAGGCATTTCTCACACTTCCCCTTCTTGGAGAAGTGATTGGACTGGCCCACCCCTCAGGTTTGGTCAGAGAATCACACAACTGGCTTGCCTCATACCTTGACTGGTTTAACAGACTGTGGAGAGGCAGTCTTTGCATCCCAGATGTGGTTGTGACTTAGAATGAGCTATGTCTCTGGGGCTGAGACTCATCCTCTCTGGGCTGACCAACAGTGGTTTCTTTGGCTCATGGAGAAGGTGGGTAGTGAGATGGAAGCTTGTGGCCATTGTGCAAGAAACCTTGCAGAGCCATAAGAAACACATGATTAAAATGTGCTTCCGAGTGGAAGGACACAAGACCATTGCCATTTAGTGCATGTGATGGGAGGACCACCTAGCTGCATGGGCAACCCCCTGCCCTGTCAGAATCCCTGCAGAGACAGGAGAGTTCAGGCATCAGAAATGGTACCCTTTTGTTTTTTTTAATGCCTGCTTATTCCATCTGTTTCCCTCCATCCTCACTAGGAAGGAGGGTAGACTGAGCTCCAGAACCTTGCATAGCCAAATTCCACATGTAGCCCTTGGGTCTATGGCACTTGGAGTCTTTGCCCTCTGCTCATGTTCCTGCGTTGAGTTGTGTTGCTGAGCTTTCTCCTTGGCTTGCTCACAACAGCCCTCTGATTTGGAGCAAGGCCCTTGGAGTGCCTTGGAGCACTGTTTAAGTGGTTTCAGTTTTCATAGAGCTAATGTTAAGAGGAGGACACAGGGGTAGGCATGGAGAGGGTGATCATGGTAGTGGGGAGATAGAAATGGACTCAAAATGTGACCTGGTCTGGGCCTGGGGACTGGCATCTCATTGCTGCCCACCTAGAGCCAGATGGTAGCCAGGAGAGGCCTGATGGGTTGAAGACTAACTTTTGTCTTCTAAAGTATCCCTACATTTTCCATCATGCCTCCTCAGGAACAGGAATTCAGCATCCCAGCCTGTTTTGGTTTTTGGTTTATGGTTGGGTTCACTTCCGAGTCGAATTTGTTTTGGGTTTTTTTGTTGTTTTTTTTTTCTTTTTGTAGCCCATATACCCCCATTTTGGCAGAGGGCTCTAGGCACACTGGAACTCATGCATACTTTGGGGCCCTTGAAGAGGCTGTCTAGCCAGACTTGGCTGAACAATTTAAACAAGTAGATGGGGCCTCCAGAGGCAAGGAAGGAAGGCTTGGGGAGTATCTGAGGTGGGAACACCCCTCCAGACACTGCCCTGGGTTCTGATCTGAACCCTTCCTCCAATCCTGGAGGAGACAGTGCATCAGATATGCACAGCCTTGTATTTGTTCTCTGTCAGTCAGGGTGATGAGCTGTGACTTTAAGAGTCTTTGAAGTGATCTTTGCATTTTAGCCAGAGGGAGAAAAAGTGCCCTTTGGAGAGGAAAATGGTACACCCCCCCTTCTACCTGGCACTCTCTCCCCCTGCCCATACCTTCAGATGGTATCGCCCTAGAAATACCTATGCAATCCAGTCTCCTTGGGAGACCATGCATGGAAGCAGGGGTGTGTTCAGTGTATCATACTAATGCCAAGGCATTTAGATTGTATATATGGGCATATACAATACGTATACACAGAGTAAGAGATTAAATCACGTCTATATATCTATAAATAATATCCTATATATTTATATATTTCTATGTTTTAAATCGATATAAAAAATAGAGTCTATAGAGCTGGAAGGGCAGCAGGGAAGCCTGGTGCTGTCTTGTGCGAAGGGGTAAGAAATAGGGCTTTGGAGGAGAGGTGGGTTGGGGATGCTCAGCAGGCCAGGTTTACTGGCCACTGTGGGGCGCCCTCTGCTGGGGAGTTGGAGAGAAAGGTAGCTGGGTCCTGGCCTCTCCAAGCACTTTCTTTCTTTTCCCATCTGCTCCTGCTGAGGTTGGAAGGAAATACTCCTGGGCTCCAGCTGCAGCACCCGCTACCTCCCCTCAACCATAAGCCTACACTTAACCACTCACTGCTGCTTGGTGTAGGGGGTTGGACTTGGTTCCTGACTTCTGGGGGAGGGACCACTGCACAAATGCCCCAATATCCCCTCCTACCAAGAATGAACAGCATTGATGGCAATAGGAAGGGGGCACCTGGGATCATAAATTGTCCATAAAGATAGCATGCCCACCTCCCAAATGCTGCCAGCCTCTGGAGGCCAAGCCTCTTGAGTACAGCCGTCCTGGCCTCCCTCACCCATTCACCCACTGTTGCCATGGCCCCAGGAGATGAAGGGGCAGTGTGAGCATTGCCAGGCAGCACTGTCCCCCACCCAGAGGCCCCACCAGATGGGAAAGACATATTCGCACACTCAGATACTTAATGGCAACTCAAGTTCCAAAGCAGGGCCTTGGCCCCGCTGACTTTGCCCAGCTGCAGCTGCTGGCTGTACTCAGGACAACACTGTCCCCTCCTTCTGAGAGACCAGTGGCCTCACCCACCTCTGCTGTGACAACAGGTTAGGTTTAATTCACATACACTGTTCCTGTTCTGTGACTGGGCACCCAAGCCCATGTACTTCCTCTGGGGAGGGCACCTTCCATAGTTTGTCCCCAGCCCAGTCCCCCTGAGTGGGAATGTCCTGGAGACTCCAGGGGCTCCTCTCAGGTGACAGCCTATGGTAGCATGGCAGAGGGCTTATGCAGCCCAGACAGGAGTCAGAAGTCTGTGGCTCTGCTCCCAGCCTCTATGTCATTTCTTCTCCCCTGCAAGTAGAAGGGTTCTGACAGGCATGGGATGATGGGGAACCAAGAGCAGGTACCTACCGTGCTCTCCTGACCAGCCTGACTTTGTGCTCCACAAACACACTCATTTCCCACACAGAGCCTCTTTGGGCCCCTGTCCTGCTCTTCCTCACCATCCTACCAACGGACCTCAGTCGCCAGCAGACCAGTCCTGTACCATAGTCAGGACTGTGTCTGCTCTGTCAGTGCCCATCTCCTTGAGCCACAGTCAGCTGCCAACCGGGCTGGAACATGCTCTAGTGCCTGGCTCAGTTGAGTCCAGGCCAGACAGCCCAAGCCTTCCTCCCACCACAGTGGGTCAGCACCTGGCCAGGGGATGGGCATTCCCAGTAGTAATCACACAATGCACTGTACCTCAGAGAGAGAGAGAGCATGCCACAGGGTATTGAAGAGACTGGCCTCCATACAGGGGGGCACAGCCACTCACAATACTGCTCATAGATCACAAAGGCCGGGCTGCCCTGGGGCATCCCTCAATCTTCCCTTCGGTCTCCTGGGAAGAACCCGCAGTCTGATTCCATCGTTTTCAGCCCCAGGTCTCTCTCCTCTCCACTCCCCCCCCATGCTGCTGAACCATTTTCATGTCAATCACAAAGGAAAAATAAAGTGGGGGTGGGGGAAAATACCTAGGAGTCTATTATCACATACATATTAATATGTTAATACTTTCTTTCTTAAAAACAAAAGCCTCTAAATGTTATTATTTTGCAGACTACGCTTTATAGTACCTGTGTGACGGGCGCTAGAACACTGGATACAGATAGAGCTATGTTGGTTTATCATAATCTGTATGCAGAATCTTTCCTTTTTGTCATATTATCCTTGTAATGTAAGAAGATTATTAATAAAAACATTTAAATGGATGAACCAAGGTCAGATCCCTGCCTTCTTGCCTCTGGAATAAGCCTGTGTTCTCAGTGAGTCATATGGACCCATCAAAGGGCTCAGGCATCAGGTTGGAAAGAGCTGGAAGAGCACTCTTTAGATGCTTCCCTGCTGCTCTCCTTTCCCCCATAGCAGACCACTTCCAGCAGATGTCGTGCCCATCAATCAGGGCAAAGGAGGTGTGACTGAAATTGCTTAAAATGCCTACCCCATGAACCCTTTCCCCACACACTTCTCTCTGGAAAAGTACGCAGGACCACTGCAGATCAACTGTGGCTCCAGCTCTCCGTCTGTCACTTCTGGGCCTGGCTCAGGCTTAGAAAGATCTGTCTTGAGTGGTTTTCTGATGGCACTGGAGGGAGTGGGTGATGAGGATGGTTTTACCCATGTAGCTTTAGGAAGAATATAGGTAGGCTCTAAGAACATGTATGTATAGGTTTTTCCTCTTGAGATGCTGAAGCCACCATCCAGCTTGCTCACAGTGGTCTCTCCCTTTCTCCTCACTTTGGCCTTCTTCCTCTCAGCCCAGAAGCACCACCACCTCCCCACTGGTAACTTAGTGGCTATAATGTGACACTAATCCTGGAGAGATGTGAAGAAATGTCTTCTCAACCCAAGGAGGGAACTGATAACAGACCAAAGTCACGATACCACCAAAGTCCAGCATGGTGAACCAGTGAGTTTACTGGTTTTTTTTTCACAGGCATATGGGTGAGGGGTCACTTACAGGAACAGGAGTGACTCAAAGGCGGCTGCATTACTGAGAGCCCAACCTCACCATGGGTGAGGACCATTAGAGTTGGAGCTTTCTGCATGACCTTCAGGCAGCTCAACAGGTCAGAGTCCTCTCTTCTCAGCTGTCTTACTGCTTACATAACCTTGGGGAAGGAGGGGGTCCTGTGAATCTGATAAGTTTCAGAGACTTTCTGAGACTCCTGAGTTATTTCCTGAATCTTAAGGAGCCTCACTCCAGGATAAAGTGTTTCCATTCATAGGAAATTGTTACACAGCACTCCACCCCTTCCTCCAGCTCTTACATTCTTTCTGCCCCTTCTTCCACCATGTTCCCTAAGCCTTGGAGGGGGTGTTATAGATGTCTCTCTAAGGCCAAGCATTGGTCCACTCTGCCAGAACAGTAGCCACTTGGACCTGGAGTTTCACTGGTGGTTATGAGTCACTACACTTCACCATCATTTGTAAAGGATTTCCTTACAGCTGACAAGTGATCTATAACCAGCTGTAAGCACACATGTTTAGAAGACAGTTTGACAGACACATCACATTTACAAAACAATAGCAGTTGTCTCCCTACCAGGGCTTATGACCTTCCCAGCCATGGGTTTTTATCCTGGTTTACAGTATCAGACATGAACTCACTTCTGGGATATGGTCCTTAAATCCAATCAGAAAGCTGTTGGTTGTACCTAAAACAGTCCATACCATTATTGTACCCGTAGTCAATCTTTCTTGGCATTTTGATAGTGTAGCCATTGGCAAGAAGGACAGTTGGTGAAAAGCAAGCTAGCAGTTCAGTCCCAACCTGATTTCTCTTCAGTGCATACACGGTCTTCAGCAACAGCATCTTATCATCTAGGTCTGACATGCAATCAATAAGCAGTGGTAATGACCTCATTTAGGGGGCCCCTGAGGCCTCCTTGGCTAAGAGCTCATAGGTTATCCACCCCCAGCACTGAATTTTCACCCAACAAGCTTTTGGATTTTGGGAGTTTTCTCTTTCCCACATATACAGGGCACCTTTGTTTAAATTCATCTCTTGCCTCTATTGTTGTTTTACACATTTTTTATAAATCTTTAAGACATTCAAGAGTTGGCATTATGTAACAAAACCTTTTTACAGAGGCTGGCAGGATCTGACGGACCCCCCTCCGTTCTAAATTAGTTCTGGTTGGTCTTGAGTTGCTAAGGGGATACTAAGAAATGTTAACAAGATCCAGTACACTACGAAAATATCTCATCATTTCGATCAACTGTTTAGTCTAAAGAGCAATGTTGAGTAGAGCAGCATGGTGGGGGACACTGCCCCTTCCAGCCCAGTGTAATCCATAGACATTTCCTTGAGCCATCAGCCTCTGCATCTGGCGTGCTGTTGTTGCTATGGAACCACTGTGCAGCTCCCAGTGGGGCTACCTTGTGTTTCTTGGCCCTGTTTGGACCCAAGGGCTCCATTCTAACCTGTCAGGCAAGCCACTGGAACCAGCTCCCTGGTTCTGACAGGCTGCAGGCCAGCTATGTAGCCCTTGCCTTTTCATTAGTCATACCCAACTGAGAAAGAGCCCCAGCTTGAGGAACAGTCTCAACCCATGGTGTACTTTACATCACATACTCTGGGTGGGGATAATTGCCCACCCTAGGACAGTTGCTCGGTCTTTAGAGCCTTTCAGCTTACTAGCATAGCCATAGGCTTCAAAAAATTTTTCTCTCTAGGAAATTCTGCCTAACATAAATCTTGTCACATGTGCCTTCAAGTAGCCATACACACCGCTTGCCTGCTTTGGTCGTCTTTTTGCCCCTCATGATTGCTTTTGGGTTTTATAAACCTAATGTACATGCCTGTCAACACCATCTATATTTTCCAGAGCTTCTCCTGTTTCACAGTTCATGTCCCACCATGGGGCTCAGCAAAGCCAGGAAAGCTCCATGCAGCCCTGAGGGCCCTGCTGAATCAAGCTCTCTTTTCATTCTCCTGTAATTACAGCTCCGTCAGGCACTGTGGCCATCAAACACTGCCTCTTCCATGCCTGATTCTCCCAGTAACACCAGTCCTTCCCCTGCATTCCAGTCTTGATCTTCACGGGTCCTCAGCTGGCGATAACCAGGCATCCCTGCAGCTCCAAAGTGTCAGCCTGTCAGGGGCTGAGTCCCCTGAACTTACCTCAGGCTGTGCAGTCTTGGTGTCAAGGATGGAGGGGTGGTCACCCCACCTGGTTTCTCCACTTCCTTAGGACTCAGACTGATCCCATCCGCCCACATGTCCCCCAGTCTCACCATCCAGGCTGTGACAGGCTCTTTCATGGCTTGACATTCTTTCCCAGTTCAAGCAGAGGAGACAGAACACTCCCTGACTATTGTAGCCTGTTGGGTCGGGACATTTTAAGGACATTTTCCCGAAACTGAACCCTAAACCTGAGAGGGATCTTCCATCATGTTCACCTTGCTCTGCTCTCTCTCACTCTGTGACTCTTCTCCCAACAAATGCTGTTTAGCGTAAGTCTGCGCTGTGTCCTCCTTACCGTTAGGCGCCCCACCTGTAGGGAGTAGCAAGTCAACACTACCTCATTCTCTCTTTCTTCCACTTTCTTTTCTAATCAGAGGCTAGCAACCGCATGTTCTTTTGCTTCCACATGTTGTAATTGCTTCCTTAGACAAGCAAGTTCTTTCTGTAAAGACAACCTCGGTTGCATGTCTAACCTTCCATAGCAGTGGTCATAACTGACACCACAGCCTGGTCACGTCCCATGTCTTATGTGTGACTTTCAGGGAATGGAATACATTATTTTTTTAATTTTATTTATTTTTTTACTTTATGTGTATGAATATTGTACCTGCATGTATGTAAGTGCACCCATGTCATGCAATCTTCTTCAGAAGAGACCATCAGATCTCCTGGAACTGGAGTTACAGATGGTTGTTAGCCATCATGTGGGTGCTAGGAACCAAACCCAGGTCCTCTGCAAGAGCAGACAGTGTTTTTAACTGCGGAGTCATCTCTCTAGGCCCAGAATACATTCTTTAATCCATCAGCTGTTGGAGGGACATCCCTGTACCCCATCCATCAAGGAGACAAGCCAGCCCTCCCTCAGATTCTCTACCCAGCCTAGCCTTGGCTGTTTCTCCTATCATCCAATCTCAAGACTCCCACAAGCACCACTATGTCAAGGAAGCACAGCCTCCCATACGACACAGGGACCAGTAGCCGCTTTGGGATCTCCTCCATGAATGTTTCACTCTCCCATCAATTGGCCTCTGTTACTGTCTCAGCACCCATTGCAGACACCAGGGCGCCACTTCTCCACAGCTCACCTTTGGTTCTGTCAATCTGTGTTTGGGCTCCAATTCTGTTGTGTGACCCTATTCCTGAGGAGACATGAACAAACGTCTTCACACCCTAGAGAAAACCAACGACAGACCCAAGTATAGTACAGCTTGGTGAATGGGGCTACTTACAGGAGGATGAGTGAAGGGTTACTTACAAGAGGATGAACCACTCAAAGACAGCTGCAACATCAAAAGCCCACCCCTATGGGTGAGATGATTTAAAAAGCCTGAATCCTGGAGCTTTCCTGCCAGACTTAAAAGCTACTCAATAGGTCAGAAGGTCAGCCTTTTGAGTTTATATAACCTTGGGGAGGGAAGGGTTTTGGGGATCTGGCCAGTTTCAGTGACTTTCTGAGACTTGTGAGTTGTTTATTTCTTGAATCTTAAGGAGGCTTTCTTTAGAATGTTCTGTATCTTAAGGCCCCTCCCTCCAGGATAGAGTATTTCAATTAGGAGGAAATTGTTACACAGTAATTGTGGAAGCCATTTTGTGGTTTCTGTGGAATGTCTAGTTCACTTCTCAGAAGAGTAGGAGAGGAAGGAAGGGGCCCAGCTGGCCCCATCTAAGCATTACAGTTAGACCTACATCAACCTACTTCCCACCCTGCTGTGGGCTACCCAGATCTCATCCAGATTTGCAACAGATTCTCCAATGTGGATTTCATCCCCAGGAAAGAGAATTGTACTGTCCTCCACCCCCCAAGGTCTGTTCTATATGAGAACCTTCAGTTGCTGCTTGGAGCCCTCTGCCTGGGGCAGCTGTTCCCAACATGGCAACAGGATTTGGTAAAATGCCACTTTCTTAGCAGGAGTCTTTCCTGACCATTTATTACTCTGTGTGTGTGTGTGTGTGTGTGTGTGTGTGTGTGTGTGATGTTCTCTCCTGAGCAATGCCCTTGAGGGAAAAATAGAGCCATTTCATTCCCTGGTGGGTAGTGCCTGTTACCAAGTAAGCAGGTAACAATATGTCCTGAAGGGATGAGGGCATCTGAGCTGCTCCAAAGTGAAGCCCAGTTCCCATGCCTGCACTGGCCGCTGTGGAAGTCCTGGATGACCCTGAACTTGACCTCTGGCTGCATCTGAACTCCACCCTGCCCCTTCCCTACTGGAGGTTGTCCACACTTTGCCTACACACCTTTGCCTACACACCTTGTTTTTGACAGTGTCCCAACCAGTTCACCAAGTGTCTCTTCATTCCTCTACAAAGAAGGATTTTTCCAGTGCAGCCATGTTGGCACATTGTAGTTCCAGTTAACACGGGAGATGTGACCTACACATCTAAGTGACCTTCAAGTAGAGACCCATGGCCAGTAGGTATATCTTAAGAGTCTTGACTTTAGGACTAGACAGGTATAGAATTAAAATCTCTCTCTGCCTCTTAGAAGCGACATGACCTTGGCGAATCACGAATCTCAGTTTATTTCTTCAGTTGCTTAATGCAGAGCTGTGGTCTGCTATGTGCAATTATTTGTCAGTCATTTTGGTTGTAACCCTTTAGATCAGGGTGAAGCGAGTACCAAGAAGTGTTGGGGTTCACTTCTACCATCCTCCTTCTGCCTAGGATTCCTGGGGTTACCTGGAAAAGGGCTAGCCTACACCGCAGCTTGAGACAACCTATCCCTCCTTGGCGAGGCCTTGGGCTCCTTCCTCAGCTTTCAGCAGCTCATGTCACCTGACTCTCCAGGGCAGAGGAACCTGAGAGAAGTTTGATTTGTCTGTCTTGGCAGAAAACAGGCTCTTCTTGCTCTCCCCTGCCTGGCCTGCCTGACCAACTTCCTAATGTTTCTGCCACCCACATTTGCCAACAAGTTCTCCCAAAGTATGCTGAAAGAATGTTAGGATCCAGAGCCCCGCTGACAAGAGACTAAGCCCAACAGAGGACCAGACTCTGTGGGACTCCAATCACATGGTGGTCACCACCAGACTGGTTTCCACAATGTCAACTGGCTTCCTGCTGTGCTCCTTCCAGGTAAGCTCCTTGGCCTCAGGCTGGGAAAACACTGCCCAGGTCCCAGCAGGGACCATCTGTGCTGGCTCACCTGAAGGAGACAGGCAGGGCCGTAGGGGCTGCTCTCCAGCACAGAGGTGCTGCCTAATGCCTCCATCTCTCAGCTTTATCCTTGCCAGACATCTGCCTTGGAGGGATACTGACAGATGCTCCAATTCACATCTCCCAATTGGTGCTTCCAACCCACTTTCAAAAGTAGAAACTTGGGTGGAAAATTACCGCTAGGCAGGAAACAATTAAGCAGATGAAACCAGGCTCACTTAGAGCCTCAGGTGCCAATGCTATTGTTCGGGGGAGTCTCAAGTGGCTGTTAGGAGGGTCTGTCAGAATATGCCAAGGCCTTCCCAGATGGGCAGAGAGGACAGGTACATATACTTGCTTGAGACAGGGGACTGAAAATGTGAAAAGGAAGTTTTTGCTAATCTAGACCACAGAATCACAAAAGGTTAAAGACACCTTTGGGGGTCATCTGACCATGGCCAGGGATGATGTTTTGTAGGTTTTCAGGGTCTCAACTCTCCACATGGTGCCAGAAGCAGGAGAAAGCTTCTCATGTCAGAGTAGGGCTTGTGTTGAGGGCACCTCAGTAGAAAGTCCTTGATTCAGTGATCAAGAAACATGATCATTTCTCTGCAATATATATATCCAGACTCAGATATTAACTTTGGGCTCAGTTGGTCCATCTTCATAGTTACCTGTGAAATATAGTACACAATATTTTGCCTCTGTGGGAGTCACTTAGCTTATTTTATTATAATATACAAATGTTGGTTGTCATTAAGATGTAATTATGAATGTACATAATATGAAAGAATTACATGTACAGACATTGCATGGCTTGTCTCATGGTACATTTATCCTGTCTAAGAACCTTCCATCTCAATTTCACATGATGAGGCTGATTTCCCACTGACTTTAAACAGGTTCATGGAGCTGGAGAGATGGCTTAGAAGTTAAGGGCACTGGCTGCTCTTGCATAGGCCCAGCTTTGGTTCCCAGCACCCACATGGCAGCTAATGACCATCGGTAACTCCAGTTCCAGGTGATCTTATGCCCTCTTCTGGTCTCCATTGGGCATTTGCACTTACAGGCAGACCACTCATGCACATAAATTTTTTAAAATTCAGACTTAGGCCCTTGCTTAATCTCAGGGCACTTCCTCTACAGGCCAGGGCAGAGGTGGCCACCTGGAAGACCTAGGATGGCAAGATTCCCATAGGCCCTTTGTCCATGCTTGTCCTCTAGAGCAGAGGTTCTACTAGCTGCTCCCCTGACCCTTTCCTGATCTGGTATTTTGGGCTGGAGGGTTAAAGAAAGAAGAATCAGGAGAGCCTGCCCAACATGTCTTCTCAGAAAGGAGGCCAAAGCCAGAGAGGCACACACACACACACACACACACACACACGCTATACACATACACCACACACATACGAATGCACACACACACCACATGCATGCCACACACACATACACACATGCTATACACATACACCACATACATACAAATACACACACATACCACATGCATGCCACACACACATACACACACATGCTATACACATACACCACATACATACGAATACACACACATACCACATGCATGCCACACACACATACACACACATGCTATACACATACACCACATACATACAAATACACACACATACCACATGCATGCCACACACACATACATACACACACATGCTATACACATAAGCCACACACATACGAATACACACACACACCACATGCATGCCACACACACACACACACAGAACATGCACACAAGCACACACAACTCTGTACCAGCACCACTCTTTTGTAGACATATCTTAGAGAAAGACTTCTATAAGTGTATGGGAGACGTGCATAGAAATGTTTACAGCAGTACTTCCTGTAAAAGCCAGAAGGGGTAGGTAGGGAAGGAGGAGAAAGGAGAGAACAAAAGGAAGAAAAAAGAAACATTTAAATATGCATCAACAGAATGGAATGTGGTACATTCATACAGTGGAGTATTATACAGCTATGAAAGAGAAATTTATTAGAACCACATGTCTGCATAGATGAAGGTCAGAATTTTAATGGTGAACAAAAATTGTGTGACATAGTTTAAATAAAGCCTAGAAAGACACACAGATACTTTCTAGTGGTCCATAACCATGTAGTAAAAAGTATCAGGGCATGCTTGGGATGACAAATCCGAATTCAGGACCCTGGTCTCCTGAGTAGAGGGCACTGAAGGAGACTTCAGCTGTAGTCCTCATGGTTCATTTAAGTTGCTCAAGGTTCACAGTGCGTCTCAAATCACATTTTTCTGCATCTTATGTTTAAAACATAAGGTAAAAGGAGAAAAGAGAAACACTGAGCTGCCAACTCTGTGGGAAATGATTTATTTATCACTGTAAGATTTGTGCTCCGAAGTGTGACACCAGACATATTACCATAATGTCTCATGCGTCTTTTTGTGCTTTGATTCGGGACTTCAGAACAAACACACACACACACAGCATGTGACAACAGGAAACACGAAGGCGAAAACAGCTCCAGGACCAGCTCTCCCCTCTAAAGAGCCCTATGGCAGCTTGAATGAACGTCCCCCATAGGCTCCAAGTATTTGGACACTTTGTTGCCAGCTGGTGGTACTGTTTGGGGAAGGTCAGGGAAACTTTAGGAGGTGTGGCCATGCTGGAAGAAGCAGGTCACTGGGCTTTGAGAGTTCATAAGCTAAGCCTCCTTCACACTGCCAGTTTCTCTCTCTGCTTCCTGTGCCTGCTTAAAGATGTGAGCTCTCAGCTTTCTGTCCTGGCTGCCTCTGCCACCATGCCACCCACCATGATGGACTCTTACTCCTTTGGAACAATAAGCCAAATAAACTCTTCTACAAGTTGCCTTGGTCATGGCATTTTATCACAGAAACAGATAAGGAACTAACAAACCTCAACTCAGTTCAGTTCAGCCACAGCCTGGTACTCTACATTTGAGGAGTTGACCCTGACCTGCACTCTTGCAAGAGCTCTAGGTTTTCACCCCATCCCAAGAGTCATCTCAAGCTGGAATGGACAGACGCATGCTATGTTCTAGGCACTGGGAATACACTGGTGACCAACAATGTCCTGAGGAGCCTGCCTCCTGTCCATACACCCCAGCACATTGACATGGCCTTCATTCAAGAAGTCCTGTGGGGGAATGTGATGTCTATCAGAGCTAACCCTCAGTTTGAAATCTGAGATCCAAAGAGATGAGGGAATAAGTATGAGTAGAGCAGCCCTCTTGGACCTGCCCTGCCCAACCCATCTCAAACAGTCTTTAGGGGAACCGTAAAGCAGGTCTATAGAACTGATTGCCCTGATTTTTCAGCCTAGAAACCCAACATTTCTGGACTGCAGGATCAGAGGTTACGAAGGAGAGGACACTAGTGGAATAAGGGCTCTTGGTCATGGCTTGCCAACTTTGACCATCAAGGCTGCTAAGTATCTCAAAGATGTGCCCATTGAGGAGGATCTAGATTTTTGTTTCTTCTGAGAATAGGTAAAAATGATTTTGAATGTTTATCTATTTCTGTGCAGAAAGGGTGAAAGTGACAGATTACAAGGTCCCCTGCTTAGATCCCCACCCACAGAGAGGCCCAGAAAGAATGGGTTTCTGAGGAAGCCCATATGGTTTAGGAGTCTAGATTAGGGAACCAGGCCAACATCTGAAGTTTCATCAGAGCTAAGATGTTAGTAAAGAAGAGTTCAAATAGTCTAGAAATACTTAGATGGTTCTGGCACATTCCAAGCATTCTCAACTGACAACCTGAAGACAGATCTAGCTTAAAATCTGATCCACAAGTACCTCAAAGTTTGTTTTGTTTTGTTTGCCAAGGAATATGTACAACTTTTGAACACAAACCTATCCATTATTTTACTCCCACGATCTGTAGGTCTGATGAAGTCAGTGCTGTGTTACAGATGGTCACCCCAAGGTCACTACAAGGAAGCAACAGATAGCCTGAACTCTGGCTCACAGGAGAGTACCATATCCCTACAGCCAATCCCATCTTTAGACTGATTTCACCATGAGACATCTATTGGGAATAAGCAAGGTAGACAGCCAAGCCTAGCCTCCGGTTATTTACCAGTTAAAAAGACAAGTCCCCAAAACTAGGGAAAGGAGGCACATTTGCAAGAGACCACATCTCCTTAAAGTTGCCCTTCACCTCCAGTTTTTCACACAAGTGGAAGAGGCCACCTTCAGAACTGGCCTCCTGTTCCTCCTGAAGCTTGTGCACACTAAGAAAGACAGATATCCCCCTAAGGGTGCCCTGGGTGATGCTGGTGGACATGATAGTTAAACCTCAGGATCCAGCAGTGACAAACAGCAGATCCATACCACTGAGGTTTGTTGGGGGGAAGGTCTCCCCAAATATGATAACAAAAAGATTCCTAAAATAAAACAATCAAAACACACAACATAGTTTAAGGATGGGATCCAAAGGGTAAAAATAACACAGAAAGATTAAATTAAAGACAGAGCATCCATCTTCACACTGTGGTGCCAGTGCTGGTCCTTGTGTCCCTGCTTGTAGAGGATGCTGGCCCAAAACTGAGTGGAATACCATAAAATTGATCTCACTAAGCGCAGCCCCTCCTGCGTGGCTTCAGAAGCCCCATGGTTGTTAGGGACAGGTGTCTCCAAGCTTCCACTGAGGTCATCAATGTGGACTGTCCCCCAGAAACCTAGGGACTGATGAAGGGGGGTCTTTAAACTGAGGTAAGTGGGGATTTGACTGGATGCTGGTCAGGGGCTCATCCTACTGAAATGGCCTCTAGTCCTGTGTCCACACAGAAGCCTCTTATGTCCTTCATCATTTTTGAAATCCTTCCCTTCAAAAAGCATCTCTGGTTCCCAGGGTTTAAGAGTCCTCTGCACCTGGCCTCAGCACACCTACCCAACTTGCCCATGAGGTCTTGCCCATGAGCACACCTACCCAACTTGCCCACTTGACACATGTGTCTTTCCATTATAGGGATAAGGAAAAACACAGTTCTCCGTGTGACCCCAACACCCCACTTTCACATGTGGCCCTGGTGGCTCTGTTCACTTTTTAGAGAGGGGAATGTAATGAGAGAGGAATGGGATCCTGGCCTTGGCCAGCACATCTGTGTCTGTCACTTGGGGCTCAAGGAGGGGATGAGGCTGGAGGACCGCTGTGCCCAGGAAGAATGGTGGTCGTGTGGCTGGCTACAGGTGCAGCTGGTGCCACATGGCAATCTGCCGGCGTGGGTTCTTCAGCATCTCCTCCCAGTGGCTTCGCTCAGAGCCTGAAGCATGCAGGCCCAGGCTGCAGTGGCCCAGCTCACAGCTCGGCCCCTCCTCACCTTGGCCCAGCACCTCCAGCTCCACACTGGATGCCCGCAGCAGGTCATCGGGCAACTCAAACATGATCATCTCGTTCCACACGGGGTTGATCTTGTGCTTGGCCTGCTTTGTCTGCTTCTTCTTCAGTTTCTGAGCCTGGTGCTTCAAGGTCACCTTGACGGAGACATCTTGGGGGACACAGAGGAAAGAGACAGAGAGGAGGCCAGTGAGCTGCTAGCATCTGCTGGCACCCAGGATGGTGCTACCGCTGGTGTTTCCCTCTTGATTCAGTAACTATCAAGTATCTACCAGATGGCAAGCACTGGTCTATATATGGGAAGACATACAAAAGTTGCTACCTCTGCAACTTACACAAGAGTGTGGAAGATTGACAACACAGACTGGGCATCCTTATCTGGAAGGCTTGGAACCAGAAATGTTTCCAATTTGGGATGTTTTTCAGACTTGGTAATATTCGTAAGTATATTATGAGACATTTTGGGGATGCGACCCAAGTCTAAGCATAAAATTCACTTAATGTTTCTTTTCTCAGTACTTGGGATTGAACCCAGGGCTTCATACATACTAAGGAAGCACTTTACCACTGAACAAAATCCTCAGCCCTCTTTCTACTTTTTATTTTGAGACAGGGTCTTACCAGGTGACTCCAACCGGTCTTGAATTTGCAATCCTGCTGCCCAGGGAGCAGCTAGGATTAGAGACCTGTATCATTGGCCGTAGCTTGTATAGGCTTCACATATTCCTTTTATACAGCTTGAAGGTGGTGTCATACAACATTTTAAAGATTGACTTTAATTAAGTGGGAGATATATACATGCATATTGCAGGCACCTGGGGAGGTGAGAGGCTTTGTGTCTCCTAGAGTTGAAATTACAATTGGGTGCTTGGAACCAAACCCAGATCCTCTGCAAAAGCAGCAAGTGCTCTTAACCACTGAGCTATCTCTCTAGCCCCTACCCATCATTTTATGTAATTATGCATAAACAAAATTTCATGGTGTGGAATTCTTCACCAGTGCTCAGAGGGTCCAGATGTTGGAATTTATTGGAGTTTGGATTTTAGGATTATGTATACACAGTTGGTCTCAAAACACATGAGGTGGGTTACTGGATGGCTCAGACTGGGGCATGTTAAAGTGCAACTAGGGAACCACTGTGGCCATGAATTCTTTCAAGTGACTCCATATCCCCAGTTCATACGAAGTGTAGGAAGATGGCTTAGTGGTCCCCCAGTCCGTTTCAAACTCAGACCAGAAATAACATGCTCTGCCCTGGCCTACTTTCCTTTCATATTCTGGCCAGACCTTTGGGTTGAGTATTATGATTGCAGGTGTTGGGCTGGAGAGATGGCTCAGTGGTTAAGAGCACTGGCTGCTCTTTGACCTGGGTTCAGTTCCCAGCACCCGCATGACAGTTAACAACCATCCTTAACTCCAGTTCCAGGGGATCTATACCTTCTTTTGGTCCCTGTGGCATTGCATGACATGGATGCACTTACATATCTGCAGGCAAAATACTCATACACATTTTAAAAAAAGATTGCTGGAGAGATGGCTCAACGGTTAAGAACACTGAGCTGTTCTTGCAGAAGACCTGGGTTCGAATCCCAGCACCCACATGGCAGCTAAACAACTGTCTGTAACTCCAGTACCAGGGGATCCAACAGTGTAGTCTGTCCTCCTCAGGCATTGCATGACATGGGTGCACTTACCTACATGCAGGCATAACACTCATACATATAAAATAAAAATAGTAAATAAAATATTTTTTTAAAAAAGATTGCAGGTGTTCTGCTGACTGGCTGAGTTCTGATCATGTACTTTCTGTAAGTTTTACTTGAGGACCTGGACTTCTTATGGAGCGGGAACAAAGACTTCCTGTCTCCCTTCCACCTCCCCCCCAGATCACCAGGAAATCTACAAGCCAATCAGCTGACAAGCTTTCATAGCTCAGGGTGTTATATTTTCATTAGTCAAGGTTGCCCAAGCTAATGTGAGAGTAATTTTGACTTTGTATTTATTGCTATGGTTATTGCCCCTGGGTGGGTGGTTTGTTATTTCTGCAGAGATATTTCAGAGACAAAGTGCTCTACTGTAATGGTCCTGATGGGAGCTATTTAAAAAAGAAGCAAGACAGAACTGACTGGAAGCAATGAGGAAAAGTATCTGATGCTGACCTGTGGCTCAGAACTCTGTAACACCAGCCCTTCTGATTTTATTTACCCAATATCTTTTGCTCAAAGATTCAGAATGCAAGGACCTTTATTTGCACCCTGCTATATAGAGAGATGATTGATTCTATCTTATTTATATCTTGCTTTGAGCATTCTGTTGCCTGTGCAGGTGTGATCTGGCTCACCCAGGCTACTTTTCTGTTTTGATGGGCAAGTCTGCTTAGTGCCCAAACCAGATATTAGAAGGAAAACTTGAAACTTGCAGACCTTATAAAGAGGCTGTATGTGCCAGACTCCTCAAGCCTCAGGCTTTGCCCTCACAGCCACACTATCTGCTACCACCCATGATCAGCAGGTGTCGGGGAGGCCTTTGGTGAAGGCTGAGAACTGCGAAGAGAATGGGAGAGCATGGGAAGGCTAGTAGAAGCATCAGGGCTTCTGACATCAGTCCTTGCCCAAGAAGCAGGCCCAGCCCTATCTAGCTTTCCCTGCTGTCCGGGGACTCCTCCCCTAGATGGCTGCTGTTACAATTTCAAATGAAATATCCTTTACAAGTTCACATGTCCAATGCTTGGTGTTCAACTGGTGGTGCTATTTCAAGAGGTTATGGAAATGTCAGGAGGTAAAGCCTCACTGGAGGAAGTAGGTCTTTGGGGTGTGTTCTTGGGAGCTATGTCTTTTTCATTTATTTTTATTTTATGTATCTGAGTGTTATGCTTTCATGTGTGTAAGTGCACCTGCATCGTGTAACGCCAGTAGAGGATAGAAGAGGGCATTGGATCCCCTGGACCTGGAGTTGCTGATGGTTGTTAGTTGCCATGTGGATGCTGGGATACAAATCTGGGTCCTCTGCAAGAACAGTCAGTGCTCAAGAACAGCCAGTGCTCTTAATCACTGAGCCATCTCTCCAGCCCAAGGAGCTATGTCTTGCCCTGGCCCCTTCATAAAGTAAACAACTCTTCTACCACATGCTCCTGCCACCATGATGCTCTGCCTCAATGCACAGGGGTCAAGTGACACTGGTGAGTCAGAATAAATCCTTCCCCTTTAAGTTGGTTTCTCTAGTGTTTTTAAATATTTTACTTAATCATTTTTTATTTTTATTTCATGTGTATGAGTGTATTGCCTACATGTATATAAGTGTACCCATGTCATGCAATGCCCACAGAGGACAGAAGAGGGCATCGGCTCCCTGGAACTGGAGTTACGGATGGTTGTTAGCTGCCATGTGGGTGCTGAGATTCAAACTCAGGTCCTCTGCAAGAACAGCCAGTGCTCTTTAACTGCTGAGCCATCTCTCCAGCCCTAAGCACAGTGATATAAAAGTAATCTGGCTCTCATTTTCCCTTTGGCTTCCTGTGATCCTAGGTAAAGATGGCTGTTCTCAGGGTGGCGCTCAAGTAGAGTAGAGCTCAAGTAGCTACCCTGGGGCCTTGGTGAGTGGGGCAGTCCCAGAGACAGATGGATAAGAACTTAAAGGCATGAGTGCATCCAACAGAATTGGTTAGTATGTTCCAGGTGGAGTACACAGCTGAGGGTAACTCCATAAATGGACTTCTGTCACCTTTCTGCACACCTGTCTCCATTCCCTGCCAGGTGCTGCTGCCTCTTGCATGCACCCCAGTGCTGGGGTGCCCTGGCTGTCCCCTCGCATCTTTACTCACCCTTGCCCAGCAGCTCCTTGGACTGGTTGGAGTGAAGGTTCTTGGCTTTAATCAGCACTACCAGGAGACGGTTGGCAGCTGGGAGGTAGCTGATGGACAGAAGGACCTCCCCGGTTCCTGCAGAAGGCTCCTGAAACAGAGGAGGTGGTCGTTAGGGAATCACACAGGGCTGGCTTCTGATCAATCATCCCAGGCTGAGGCTGGGGCTACACTGCACTTGTACCCCATACATGTCACAAGATCTGTTCACCTGAGTTAGTTTCTCTACCCCTGCACAAGGCTGCTAGGCCAAGAAGAAGAGGGCATGGCACATGAATCAATAGGAGTTTCTGGTTTACCACATCATCTATTTAAACCCAACATATAAATGGAGAAGTACTTCTACTCAGCTACAGTGAGGACAGAAATCAGAGGGCTCTCCCCTTGGTTCCCCTCCTCCAGGCTCTGGAGCCTCAGTAGAAGTCGAGGGAACCCAATTTGAGAATTAGTGCACGGATGGATCAGGGTCCTGAGGGAGTAGAAAGTTGCTCATTTCTTTTTTTCTTTTTCTCTTTATGTTATTTTTTAAATTATGTGTATACATGTATGTGTACACATGTGAATGCAGGTTCCCTGGCAAGAGGCAGAAGAGGGCACTGGATCCCCTGGGGCTGGAGTTACTTGTGGTTGTGAGGCATCTGACATGGGTTCTGAGAACTGAACTTGGATCCTCTTCAAGAGCGACACTGGCCCTGAACCACTGAATCACCTCTCCAGCCCTGAGTTGTTCATTTCTTTGTTTGAAGAGATAATTCCAGCCAATGCTGCAGACTGACATCATCAAAGAAGTGCTGTCCTAATGCTGGGCAGGGACTAGCTTTGCTGGAAGAGGCCCCGGTAATATCAGCACAAGGCTGGGGCACCAGGAACTGCTGGGGCACTGGGGATACCTAGAGATAACCAAGGGGCAATGACTGGGGTCAGAGGAACCGATCTCTCGAACACATCCAGACATCCATCCACCCCCATGTGCCAGCACAAAGCCCCCCCGAGGGGCACCCACTCCCCCTAAAAATACTCCTTCCAAGGGGCGAGGGTTTGAAACAATTCAAGCTCTGGGGAGCCTGGTAGGGAAGAGAATGGGGCAAGTGGGCAGGGATCAGCCTGAGGCAATAGAGGTTCCTTTGAGCAGTGAGCAGACAGTTTTCCCACCAAGGGCCTAGGAAGTGGTGGCTGTCGAGTGCCACACAGGAGGGTGAGTGTGGGAGAAAAAGCAGAGGAGACATGGGAACCAGGCCCATATGTGACACAACTTTCAGCCCTCTGGTTTCATCCTTCTTCCCTGCTGTGCAGTGAGGATGATTCAGGGGAGCCCCCAGCCCACCCCAGTCCAGTGAGGACTCTGGCTAGTGGTCACAGAGCCTGCCACCTCCTTCTGTCATACTTGTAGAGGGCCTAGCTGACAGCAGGTGGGCAGTCCTTCTGTGGTTAGTGGAAAGTAGGGGACAAGCTCAGAACCCCCTCTCCCACTATGTGGCCCAAACATACCCTCTGCCTCAGGGCACGCCTTTCATCCAGGAAATGTCTCTAACATGATCCCAATGGTTGATTCTGTTACAAGGACTCCTTTGAAATTATTCTTTGCTCTTGAGGGAGGAGCCAGTTCTGTTTTAATTGACACCATTTTGTTCCTCTAACTTGTTCTCTCTGTTTGAATTGTTTCCGAATCCAAAATGGGGACCCCCACAGGCCATCACCTGGTGCTGGGATCTAACCCAAGAAAGCAGTAGTGATGTCTTTGCAGGGCCCTGCAGAGCCAGATGCAAGATAAGGGTATGCACATCTTTTCCCCCACATTTGCCATTGTCTGTGTCCTCTGGGAGCTATGGTCAGTCTGAGGAAGACAGCTTTCTAGACCATCCATCCTCTAGATACAGCCACAAGGAAATAAGCACCCCTGCCCCACCACTTATTTCTTTGCTAACAGAACCCTCAAGACAGTGGGTGATTGAACTTGATTTGCTGAGGCCCCCAAAGGCAAGCCTCTGGCCTGAGATTCCAGGAACAGTTTAACTAGACCTAAGTGACTCATCACATGACAAAATTATCTGAGAGTCTCAAGGAACTTTGGGGATGACATGAAAGCAGGCAGCTAAGCTCTGTTAAATGTATGTTCTGTGCTCCATTCAAGCCTGTTGCCTGTCCTATCAGACCACAGGTTCACTGCTCATCTCTGGCCAGGCACACGCTGGGCACAAAAATAAATGTTTGCCAGAATTTCAGACAACCCACTTAAGCTTAACAATGACCTTGAGAGGGCTGCTTTCTCCTTCCAGATCCGAGTGCCTGATGGGTCCATACTTATTGCCTGAGCATGCTTGTAAGTGGTGATTCTGATGGACACTGCCTTGAGGGAGCCCAAGCCCCAGGTCACAGCTCTCAGCTTCCTGGGTGTACAGTCTGTCTTAGTGCTCATTTCACAGTGGAAGCACGGGGGACTGGGGACTGGTGACAGGCTCATGGCCCAGAGGCAGCGAAAGAGGCAGTCACCTGCCTCTTGATGTAAGGTTGCTTATCAGAGTTCTACAGTGGGTCTGGGATGTGGTTGCAAATAACCAGGCTTGAGCCCTCCGCTTCCCCCAGAGCAGGTGAAGGGGCCTGAGCCTGTACACCCCTGAAGGGCACTGCTGATGGGCTCCTCACCTGCCTGACTGCACCATACAAGGGAACAACAGCGGTGCACCTGCCCCTGGCTCAGATGCTCCAAGTACATTGAATACCACCCTCTTCCTCCTCCTGTTTATCTCCATTCCCTCTTGTCCCAGGTTCTAAATGAATCACTCCAGGCTGCCCTCAGAGTGGGGTGCATTGTTGTCCCCAATGACGCACAGGCCACTTCCAGCTGGAACTGGGACACAACTGCCACCTTTGTTAACCCATACAAGCCCAGAGGAGGAAAATCATCTAGGACACAACAACTGTAGGCCCCTCGCCAGCTTCAGATCAGTGTGTCCTCTCCACCTGGCTCTCTGGCCAGACTCAAAGCTTCCCGAGCCAGAGTGGTGACAGCTATAGAGACAGTGTTGGCATTGGGCTGGATAAGGCTGGGAAAAGGACTCAGTTGCAATTGTGGCATGCTATCTGGCACACTGTAGGGGCTTGGCGAGGTATTTGTGGACTGAATGAATGATGGTGCGGTTCTGGAGAAAGAGAGAGGCAGGCAAAACTCCCGGGATTTCTGCCTGGATGGAATGGGTTTCAGCCCCACTGGGGCCATATCAAAGGCTCCAAGCACAGTGGGGGAACGTCTGGAAAGTCAGTCTGGGAAAGTCAGCTTACTAGTTATTAAGTCCAAGTACCTGTTCTCCTCCCAGAGGCCTTATGTGTGACTACACGTGCATCCCAAATCACGTATGAATTAGAGAGTGGGCTTTAGGACATCCGAGTTCCATTCCAGGATGGCCATGATTTCTTTTCTATTAATTTTCCAAAGACAGAAAAAATGGATCCCAGAAGAAATCATGGCCAAAGAGGATCAGGTGGAGAGTGGAATGCTCTCTCCCCACTTCAGTTCTGATGCACGACTGGCAGGTGACTAGAGCTTGGGGTATAGTCAGAGGGATGAGCCCTTGAGGCCAAGCTCCGGTCCTGTCCAGTTTGCAGACTGTGTGGATTGCTGATCATGGTCAGCCTCAGGTTCCCCCACCATGCAGCTGGGGTGGTCACATTGTCACTCTTACTTGACTGATTTGGGAGGTGACTAGAATTCGGGTGACTTCCTAAGCTGAGCCACTGAGTTGGGAGTACATGGAAATAGTGCCCCATGGGCAGGTTGATTACTGCAACCTGAAACAGGCCTCATTTCATCCAGAAAAGACCAGATAGGAAAGGCTGGCAACTTTGTGGGCCATTCAGGACTGTCCAGGCTTGCCCAGCCTGTGGCCCTTATGCAGCCTTGTGGATACAAATGTTGCCCAACACAGAATCATAAACTTCCTTAACACATTTTGAGTTTATTTTGGAAGGTTTTAAAATAACTGTATGTTACAGTTCTTAAGTATGACCTTCGAAGATGACATAATGTCCTGATGTCAAGAGGTTGGATATGCCCCAGTGTGGTATGTCAGCTGGCTGACAGATGGGTTGGCAGAGGTTCCTGGAGGCTCCTCCAAGGCAGGCTGTGGGTAAAGCTGTGATCCAGGGCCCTGAGAAGCCACACTCCATCCCCAGCCTTCCCCTGCACCTGCTGCCCTAGTCTGTGGGGAACACACTTGCTCTCCAAGGACCCTGACATCTCAGCAGCCTTCCCAGAGAACCATCCCAGACCAGTGCCTTCCCACCCCATGCCAGCGCCCCTGACCACCAGGGCTTCCGGAACTCTTCATCAGAGCACTTAGGCTCTCCTTATAAGTCTCAGGATCCAATACTTGTCTCAGATCACCTGTTAGCAGCCGTCTGCCTCAGTTTATCCCTTAGGTCTGTACCTCTGCAAGCAGAGGGGCTCTGTGCTTCCTCTCCACACATCTTTTTAGAACTAAGCACAGAAGGGGTAGAAGAACTGAAAGTAGATTTAAGGGGTGACAACCTTGGCATAGCACAGAAGAGTCATGAATCTGCTCTGGCGGATGTCCTGTTCATGACCCCCACCGGCCTTTTGCTGGGAGTATCTCTGACTCTTGTTCCATTGGCTCAGGACTCCCCTCCCTCCTTCTCCCCACCAGCAGCAGCTGCTGGAAACCCCTACCTTTGCAGTGGTCTTCAGCTCACCCCACTGCGCTGTCCCCAGAGGCACTGACACCCCATCCAGGCGCAGGCTGAGCTCCCCTGCCACGCTGTGTCTGGAAAAGCGGTCACAGGTTCTCAGGGTGAGTGTCAGGATAGCTGTGGGGAGCTCCTCCTCACCCAGGGGCAGTGCCAAGCCCTCCTCCCAGGCTGTGCGCAGCTGCCGCTTCTTCAGGGCCGTCTGTGCCTCCACAGAGCCTGTCTTGATGACCACGCTGCCCTGGACGTAACAGTCACAGCCTCCTTCCTGGTCGCTGGTCACAGCTGCCAAAAAGGACAGAACACACACCTAGGGTTTCCTGAGGACAAGGGGAGAGAGAAGTAGGTCCCCTGACAATTGACCTAGAGTGTCTTAATGACCCCAGAGCTGACCAACCCATTCCACCATAGTGGAACAGTCTTGGAGGGAAACATTTCATAGCGGGACAACATCAGCACTTGTAAGTCTTTCTTTGAAAAGAGTGACAGGAACAGGTACTTTATAGAGCTCTTCTGACCTCAAGATGTCAAGATTTCTCCCATGGCATCCAGGCCCTTTGAGAGATTTTGCTAGAACTGCTGCCAACAAGGTGACTCATGTGTCTTTCTACTTTAAATATTTACCACACAGCCACTTGCAATGTGAATCACCCGGCTGTTGCCTCATGAAAATTGTTTCCAACTCTTGACCTTGCTGCTTTTAATGCGTCACACTGTGGATTATGTTAGTCAGCTCTCTGGCACTATAACAAAATACCCGAGAGAATCAACTTATAAAGTGAAAAGGTTTACTTAGCCTCACAGTTTGGGAAACTCTAAGCCAGAATATCAGTTTTGCTGATATTCAGTTTTGCTGAATATCAGCATTGCTTTGTGAGGCAGTGCACCATGGCAGAACCACCTGGCCAAGCAGAATAGCTCAACTCAGGGCCAGGGAGTAAATGAGAGCCATAGAAAGAGGAGAGGACTGGGGAGCAAGTGTGTACTTCATGCACTTCTGGGAACAGTTAGGATTTGTGTGAATCTCTTAGCAGGCACTTTGTTGGTCTGGTTACTCGAAGATGGAAGACTTAGCCTAACTGTGAGCAGCACCCCAAGGCTGGGGGCCTAAGCTGAATTAAAAGGAAGATGCCAGCTGAGCACCAGCATTCATCTTTCTCTGCTTCCTGACTGTGGAGACCATGTGATCAGCTGCCTCGAGGTCCTGTTGCCATGACTTCCCCTCCATGATGGACTGGAGCCTTAAACTGTGAGGCAAAACAAACCTTTCTTCTTTAACTTGCTTGTGTCAAGGTATTTTGTCACAACAATGAGATAAGTAACTGGCACAGGTTTGGATCTTAAATGTTCCCCCAAGGCCACAGGTTGAAGGCTTGGCCCCCTGTTAATGGTGCTGTTGGGAGCCAGGAGAGTCTTTAGGAGGCGGGGCCTCGTGGGAGGAAGTTCCATCACTGGGATGCATCCTTGAAGAGGCTTTGGGACTCTGGTACCTTCCTCTCTTTTCTCTCTCTGCTTTCTGGTCACTGAGGTGAGCACCTTTGCTCCACACATGCTGCCTGCCATGGTGCTCTGCCTCACCACTAAAGGCAGCAAGCAGGGCCCAGCAACCCTGGCCAAAACCTTCGAAAGTGCAAGCCAAAACAAATGTTTCCCCTTTTAAGCTTTCTTTCTCTTTGGGTATTTTGTCACAATGATGGGAAAGTTAGTAACACAAAAACAAAGGAAATTAAGCATTGACATGCAACACAGCTGGCCCCATTGTAGCCCTGATTTCTTTGCAAAGCCTTGGCTTTGCTTGCAAGATGTAAGGTGTACTGCTAGTGCAGCAACAACAAGGACATCCCGATCTCTGAGGAGAGACTGTCTGATTCTTGAAAAAAGTTATCAGAAATGTTTCTAACACTGAAAAGACCCTCTTTGTCTGGTACAAACCCCTTTCCAATGTCAAAGCCTCTGGCAGCTGCTGCGAACTGTTCAACAACCACTAATCTCTCCCTCCTCCTGGGCAGCCTGCCAGTCTACATTTCCCAGGATTCTCTGCAGTGAGGTGTGACCATGTGACCAGGCTTCAGCCAATGGGTTGTGAGCAGAAGGGTGGCTCAGCCCACTAAGGAATGGCTGTGCCCTCTTCTTTCTTTTTTAAAGTTTTATGTATTATTTTATGTGTATGAGTGTATTGCCTGCATGTATGTAAGTGCACCTGTGTCATATGAAATGCCCAAGGAAGTCAGAAGGGAGCATCAGATCCCCCAGAACTGGAGTTACAGATGGGCATTAGCTGCCACATGGGTGCTGGGAATTGAACTCAGGTCCCCTGCAAGAGCAGCCAGTTCTCTTAACCACTGGCCATCTCTCCAGCCCCTTTCTTTCCTTTCTTATCTTCTCTGCTAGATGCAGCTAGCAGGAGACTCTAAGGGTTTAGAGAGTGACAGGAAGGGACCAGTCCTTGAGTCACCAATGATGTCTGCCAGTCAGGAATCCCCAGCTTGCACACTTGCTCAGAATCTAGTGTCTGAGCATCACACATGAGAGGCTGTCTGAGTGCTAACCCTTGCTCTCTCCAACTGAGACCTTCCCAGCCTGCCTGCAGGAGACACAGCCACTTGAGAGTCACTGGGATCACGCAAGAACAGTACCTTCCAGGCAAGTTACAAAGAGCTCTGCTTTCTGCTGGTCATAGTCCAGGCGGAAGTGGAGTTTGGGGGCCTGATTCCAGCTGGCAGCCTTCTCCGGGTTCCAGGTCTCCATGACACAGACGTCTTCCACCACACCTGGGAGACAGGTAAAGCCGCTGTGGCTGTCACAATGGAGTTTTGTTTCTCTGATCACACCTTTGCCAGCTCTGTCATCTAAGCCATGAATCTAAACAAACCCAAAGCTTCTTAAGGTCTCCCCAAAAGGCCATAGACACTGCATGTTAAGGTACCATCATGGCCCAGGAGTTAATACATGGGCTTTGGTGCCTTGTGTGAGCTGTCACATAATAGCTTGTGTGTGTCCTTGGACGAGTTAACGAACATCTCTGAATCTCAGTCTCCTCATCTTTATAATGGGGATAAGAGTTCCTCTTTCCTTAATCTCTATGAGCATTAAATAAACTAAGGCAGGGAACTCTTCTGAAAGGAAAGCTGTCAGCCTGAGTGGTGATTCTAGTAATAGTGTTATAGGCAAACCATCTCCAGCCCAGCTCCACCTCTCCCAGCTCCAGAGGAATGAGCAATTAAAACAGGCAAAGATGGTGGCTTTGACCTGAATTCATGAACAATCAATATTTTTTGAATGAATGGATGACCTCATCTTTAATTTAGAAGATCCTAAAATTGTCCATATTGCTGGCTCTGCCCCTCTTTTGAACAGGAGGAGCCTAACATCTGGAAGATTCTCATGAGAGAGATCTAACAGAATTAAAAAGATGTAGTCACTGACAGAGACCACACTTTAAGCAAACCAGAATTTAATTACTGATTCCCAGAATGAACCAGAGGGCAAGACTCTAGAGGGCCATAAACATCCCAAAGGGCTCATTACAGAATTCCTGCTAGAAACTCCTGAGCTCCTATAAGACCAGGGCAACTGCAGGCAAGACCAAGGTGCATGTGTGATCCCTGTCCAGTGGGGCCTCATGCTGGACCTTGTTGGTTGAACCAGCCCAATCTTGCTGGATTTCTGTGGATCAGATCCGGACTGGCTGCTGCCTTGTGGGTTGGGAAGGAGAAGAGGACATGGACACGCATGTCCCGATGCCCAGCACTGCTCAGCTCTCCCATCTCCCTCACCTTGGATGAGGGTCCCATCCTATACAAGCCTGGGGCTCTGACTGTGGGGACTACTCCAAGAGTCCTCATACCCCTCAGTCTTACCTGCCCTTCCACTCTTATGTCTTCAGTTGGTCAATTTTGAATCTATTTAAAATGTGGAGTCATCAACAGTTAACACTCGCTGTTCTTGCAGAGGACCTGGATTCAGTTCCCAGCACCCAGTTTGGGCAGCTCATAACTGTTTGTAAATACAGTTCCAGGGGATCTAATGCCCTTTTCTGGCTTCAGAGGGCACCTAAGTATACATGACATGCATGCATACACTCAGGCAACACACACACACACACACACACACACACACACACACACACACACATACAATGAAATGAAAACTTTAAAATGTGGACAGGGAGCCTGGAGGCTGGCAGCCAAGAGGCTCACATGCAGCACACCCTGAAGCAGTCCCTGAAGGTCAGATTTACAGCAGCGCTGATCGCCCTGGCAACAAGCCACACATGTGCTGGCCAGTAGGAGACCACATGAAGCCATATCAGGGGATGGTACAGGACAGGGTCAAAGTCATTGTCAAAGTCACTAGGCTGCCCTGCTCCATACCACATTGTGGGTCATCTTTCTGGTTTTAGGAGTCCCTCCTTTAAACACTCATTCCTGTGGCTTAGGGGCTGTCTCTGCCTCCCCCCCACACATTAAATCCCCCTGACCACCCATGGTTGCTGCTTTCTGGAGGCTGGTGCAGATAGAAAGTGAATAGGGACAGTACTAGTAACCATATGTTTTGATGACCTTTGTGTAAGCCCTTGCTCACACATCACATTTTATTTTAGGCGTTATGTTATATACATTTAACAGCAACTTTCACAGACCAGTATGACCCCATTTCATGAATGAAGAAATGGAGGCCAAGAAAGGGTTAGCAGCAAGCCCAATGCCACACAGCAAGCATATAAAAAGGTAGAGAAAACTGGTTTCTAACCTTGATTTCTTTTAATCCCTTCTGTAATCACACACCAGATTTAAAGGAGACTCATTTCCCACAGGAAAGCTGGATACCAAGCAATGGGCCTACCTGCCCAGAATCAAAAGCACACCTGGGCTCTGGATAGTGGCAGGCAGGCTCCACACTGCATCCACGGATACTTGGCAGACCCCCCTGTGTGCTGCCCACCAGGGTGCAGGAGACCCTACCATTCTGAGGAAGAATGAAGAGTTCTTCTGTGACCTGCCTCTTGAGGCGACTGTCACTTGGGGCCTGTGGGTTGGCAGGTGCAGTAGGCTCCTCCGTGCCACCCAATGTGTAATCTGCGTAGTTGATGACTTCTGGGGCTGTCACAGCTGGCCGAGGACCATAGATGTCTGGGAACTTGAGGAGGGGTCGGGGCTGGACAGGCTCCGTGGATTTCTTAACATTGAACTATAAACGTAAATGGAACTGATTAGTAAACCTAGAGGGAAAAGGGATGACCTGACCTCTTGTAGGAAGCAGAGGGGAGAATGACATCCTTCCATACTGCCCCAAAGAATATTGCCTAGGAAGGGAGATGTCACTTCCAACCCCACCAGAGTGTACATGTGGGAGTCACACCCATCATCCACCCCTACCCTCATCCCTACCTATCCTTCCCTGGGTACCCTCAGGATGGCTCTGTTGCTCTCCTGTCTCTCACTTCCCTCTTCCTTCTCTTCCTCTTTCTCCCGAGTGGTAGAGATCTGCTTCAAAATCCAGACTTCCTGCAGTGACCTGTAAAAGCTTGCCTAACCTGCTGGCCTCTGACACAGCCCAGATCTATCTTCACTCACCTCCAGTCACAGAGCCCCCTGCTCTGCACACAGTCAGCCTTGGCCGGGGTTCTAGACCACAATCTCCTCCCTCATGACCCCACCACATCCTCCATCTGCTCTTGGCTTTTGGTGGCTAGCCTCACCTCCTATCTGAGGCTGGAAAGGCCATCTCTGACATGCCCATTCATGTAAATCAAAACCCCTTTCTCCCATCACCACATTTAGTCTTTGACTCATAGCACTGGCCTCCCCCAGACAGTTTTACCCATGGGTGGCCTGACTGTGGGCAGTCCCTTGCTCCTGGGAGTCAGACTCACAAACACAGGACTACCTCTTGTCTTGCTCTCATATTACCACAGAAGCTGGGTCACTTTGGGCAGGTCATGTTGCCTCTCTGGACTGTTGCATTAATGACACATCTGACCTGCTGCTTCAGGCTGGAAAGAGGCAGGTGACACCATCTTCTGTTTGGGACAGACATCTCAAACAGCAGAAATAACAAACCAGTTCATCTGGCAGCTTAGGAAGCCACACAGCTGAATGGCAGGCGTGGTGTCTATGTGTGACCAAGGGCAGCAGCATGTGATCCACAAGCAGAGGGCCTGGGAGACAGACTAAGCTTGACCTTGGAGGAGGGATGTATGGAAGGCAGAGGGAGAACTGTGTCTGTGTCCCTGACACTCAATATCATGTCCCACCATCTTCCTCCTCAAAGTCACACCTCTGATATGTCACTTAAGTATGAGTGCCATTTATTTCATTATTTGACAGTCAGGAAACAGAGGCTCAGGAGCTCAAAGTCTCATAACTACTAAGTGGGACGGATAGTGGAGCCCCCAGAGATTTGACTTCAGACTTCACATCATTTACCCACTGGTATCAGTTGTCACTTGGCCACCACTCAGAACCAAAAGGCAATCACAGCTCCCTGGGTGCCACCCTCAGGTTCTTCCCCTGGTTCTTTAGCCCATAAAGCTCCTAGAGAGGCTGCTGGACTTCAGCCATCCCTGACTCAGAGCCATCCTGCTTGCCACCTGTTGGAACAAGAACTGAGGCTGTCTGGGTGACCTGAGGAGCGTTTCTACGTTTGCTTTTGATTTCGCCCCAGCTCACTGGTTTAGGGAAAGGCTTGGTGTGATTCTGGGTTTGCACCCATTTATTTGGCTGCTTTTTTGTTTTTCAGTGAGGGCAATCATTGCTGGCTCCGAGAGTGAATGAGGTTCAATCCACAGGGCCTTCCCTGCGTCCTCAATGGGTCTCAACTTGTACATCCCTGACAACTACAGAGCATGTCACAGCTGCCCCGCATGCTCGCTGGAACAAAAAGACAGGTTTTCTTGGTTGTCCACAGTCATCCATCCTGACTCCCCTACACCTTCCCACACACGATCCCTTGATTGTCTAGGGTCCCCGGCTGCACCCCCAACTCCTAAGGTGAGATCTGCCAGGTTTGATTCCTGTCCTTAGTGTTACCTTGGTGCCTGGCCTGGGGTTCCCCAGCAGACAGAACGAACGTGGCCTTGTCTTGTGCCTTGAATGAGTCAGCGTTAGGAAAACACCAGCACCATGCACTGAGGGCAGGGGGACACACAGTCTGGTGTCCTTGATGCTAGTGTCATTCGGCCACAGAGTCCACCTACCCTGTGGTTCTGCACTGTCAGTATCCAAACAGCTCTGTTCTTACTCTTTCAGCTGGTTTGAGTTGGGACTTCTTGTCTCACAGTCAAGAATGTCTCAGAAAAATGTCCAGCCTGTCACAAAGGTCACCAACCTAGTGCTCATTCAGCCCAGGGCAGGACTCTATCCCATCTGGAATCTCTGTGCACCCAGTGTAAGGCCTCCATACTTGCAGTTGACCCTTATCATGGGGGAAAATTGACAGCTGTAAGAATGATTTATGGTCTGGACCAGGCCTGGAGTGTAGCTGATGTAAGCAATGCAAGTCTCCAAAGAACAAAAGCACCCATCAATCACCCACCTTCTTCTCCTAGGCCATCATACTAACTGCATTTCAAAGCACTGATTCATAGTGGGTGAGATGGTTCATTGGTTAAAGGTGCTTGCTACCCAGTCTGATGACCTGAATTCGATACCCAGAACCCATAGAGTGGAAGGAGAACCAACTCCTGCAGGCTATCTTCTGACCTCCACGTTTGCACCATGGTACATGTGCCCCCCCTACGCATACATATAAATAAATGTTTTAAAAACCTGGTTCCAATGAGTCTTTCAGTTGCATGTGAAACAGCAGAAACTTCAGCACCCAAGAAGCAGAAATGAGGTTGGGAGCAGAGAGAGGGAGGCTGGGAGAAGAGTCTTCATGGGGAGACGAGAATGTCTGAGAGGAAGGAGATGTGAGGTGAGGGGTGGGGCTGTAGGCAGACCTACAGCGAGGCCTCACACTGGGTGGAGAGGCACTGTCAGAACCCGGGTTTCTGGTCTCCCAGTCCCCAGAGCCCTGGGGAAAAGGACCTGGGGCAGTGGGTGTGGTCTAGTCAAGGAAGGTGTCAGAGGGACTGGCAAAGAGCACTTAGGGAATGGATGCTTAGCTGTGCAGGATATCCAGACACATGCTCAGGACAGACCTTGGCCTCCTTGGAGTCTTTTGCCTCACCAGAATTCCAGACATTTAGTCCCTGGTTCCCTACACCATAGGCAAATCTTCAGGCACCAGCTTTAGGCTGGGGGCCACACTACAGTGCCTGGAGGCATGCCCAGTTTCATCTATTCTTGCCCAGCTTGCCTTCTGCTACAGGGCTCTGGCTGCCAAATAGAGAACCAGGAACATATCACGGCTCATCCAAGAGAAATCAGGTTGTACAGAGAGCTAAAACTTCACAGGGAGGGACCGGAGAGATAGCTCAGCGGTTAAGAGCACTGGCTGCTCTTGCAAAGGACCCAGGTTCAATTTCCAGCAGCCACATGAGGCTAACAACTGTCCATAACTTCAGTTCCAGGGGATTTGACTCATTCTTCTGACCTTCACAGGCACTGCACAACACAGGTATACTTACAAGCATACAGGCAGTACACTCATACACATAAAATAAAATAAAGATAATTTTAAAAAAATAAGAAAAATAAAACTCCATGAGGAAAGTCAGTACCAAAAAAAATCAAACCAGGTCCCAAGTCAGGTAAAGGACTCCTGTGGTCATTTCTCTAAAGAGAAACAATGACCAGTTGTCAACTTGACATACCTGGGAAGAGGGAATCTCAATGGAGGCATTGCCTCTATTGCATTGGCATAGGGCCATGTCTGTGGGGCATAAGAAAGTAGACTGAGCACAGGCCAGAGGAGCAAGCCTGTAGGCAACATTCCTCCATGGTCTGTGCTTCAGCTCCTGACTCCAGCTCCCTGTTTGAGCTCCTGCCTTGACTTCTCTCGATGATGGACTATAAGCTATATAAGACAAACACTTTCCTCTCCAAGTTGCTTTTGGTCAAAGTGTTTTATCACAGTAATAGAAAGCTAACTAGGACAACCATGAAACAGGGGAAAAGATCTCCAGCGTCACTAGTCACTAGAGAAATGGAAGTTAGAGCGACATGAGGAACCACAGCACCTGCATTAGCAGAGCTCGCTAGGACTGAGGAGGGTGTGGGGTAGGTAATCAGAACCCTGTCTACTGCTGGTGAGGCAGGAAATGCACAGCCAGCTGGCTGCGGAAAACACTAGAACTTCCTTCAAAAGTTAAACTGGAAGCACTCTAGGCTCCAGCACTCCCTTTCTTTGTATAATACCTGGAAGAATGGAGAGCAGGGTCCTTGAAGAGCTTTTGCAGCCATATTCAAAGCTGTATCATTCACAGCAGGCAAGATGTGGTGTACCACTTGGAATCCTAGCACGTGGGGGGCTGAGGCTGGGGGATGGCTTGGGCTACAGAGTGAAAGTCTATCTCAAGGAAGAAAATGTGGACTGGGGATGTAGCTCAGTTGATAGAATGCTTGTCTAGCATGCACAAGGTCATGGGTCCAATCCCCAGTGTCTTATACACTGGGCATGGTGACACATGCCTGTAACCCCAGAACTTGAAAGGTAGATGTGGGAGGATCAGGAGTTCATGTTCATCCTTGGCACTACAGAGTAAATCTGAGGGTGGCCTGGGCTGCATAAGACTCTGTCAAAGGAGAGAGGGAGGGAAAGAGAGAAAGAGGGAGGAACAGAAGGAGGGAGGGAAAAAAAGTGGCATATACATTGAAATATTATTCAATCTTAAAAAAGAAGGAATTTTGATACATTACAATCTACACAAACCTGAAGAACATCAACATAAAATATGACAACAGAAAGCAACTAGCTACAAGAAGACCCAAGCTGTTTTAAGTGGTCAAAACTCCAGAGGCAGAAAAGAGAAGGTGGCACAGGGCAGGGGATGGGGTGGGCATAATGTTTAATGGGACAGCACAGTTGTACAGTGTCAAAAGTGCTAGAGTGAAGGTGGAGATACCTGCTCAGCACTATGACTGTATTCAACACCACAGAGTTGCACACAGGAAAAGTGGATGGTAAAAGTGATGTCATGTGTATTTTAGCATATGGTGGTCAGGCACAGTGGTATATACCTGTAATCCCAGCACTTTGGAGTCAGAGGCAGGAAGACTTCTCTAAGCTTGAGGACAACCTGGTCT